CTTACAAGTTTAATGATGTAAAATAAATATCTAATCAAATACTAATCAGCTTACTTATTGTAAACTAGTTAAATATTAATTATAAATAATTAAACCAATTTTACAAATACTGATTGTAGTTAAATAATGGCGGCAATCAAAATGCTAGTTGCTATTTATTACTAGTTTAATTTATTCAAATTAATATTTAATCAGCATAATTATTTAATATTTATAAAGATTAATTAAATAAATCAAAACCGATTTATAATACTAATTACTATTAATTAATTAAATCAATATTCTTTAACTATTTATAAATTTTCAAATAAACAACAATTAAAATATATACAAATCTAATAATAGAAATCAGATACGAATCAAGTATCTGATTTTAACTGATTACAACCTAATTACTATCTGATTGATATCGATTTATATTGCAATATAAATTAACATCAATCAGATAGTAATTAAATACTAATAAGATTAAAATCAAATATTTAATTTGTATTTTATTTGCTATTTTCAACTTATAAATATTTTTAATATAATATATTGAATATTTATTTTAACTATTTACATATTATAAACATACAATTTGCAAATTTTATTAAATCTTTATAAATATATTAATACATATTTGTATAATAATATTAACACTTAAATAAATTAAATTAATAAATACAATGCAAATTAGCTTTGATTAAATTTGTTATAGTATGATTTCCCCAGTATCGCCATTAAAATTTCACCACATATGACAATAAAATTTCTTTAAGTTCGCTTATGTTGAATTAACACCTAGATTAGAGTTCGAATTTAGGCAATCCTATAGTAAAATTACTTAAGAAACTTTTTATTAGTGCATAAACATAGTTCTTTATGTAGCTTCTTGAGAAATAAGCGATTTTTGTTAAAAAAACATTTGGGTTAAATTTTCTTTATCAAGTTACATTACACCGAATAATCACGTCAGGGTGAAATTTTTCATGACGATACTGAGATAAATCTATAGAATAATAAAATCACATGAGAAAAATCTTTAGCTACGTGTCACAGTCAAAATCAGTCATTGATAGTAATTTGTACTTGAAATATGTCGTTCAAAGCATTACGGTTGAAGAATACCTGAATTAAGAGGAAGAGTTAATAATATAAATAAATAAATAAATAAAAAACTTATCGCTTATGTTTCGTGTCAGAGTTTGAATTCGAAGGTCTCGTGATTACGTGGATAATCGATCGAATCCCGGGTCATTAATTAGCCGAAATCGGGGAGTCGATCAATTGATGTAATTATGGATCAATAAGGCATAAAAAATGTTTAATAAGTTAAAGTTAAATATGCAATAGTTAAAAGTTAAATATCGTATAATATGTGTATTAGTAATAAGATATATGATGTAATTGATTTAAAGTCAAATATAACAAAGAAAATTAGTTACTTTTACTTTTAAGTAATACAAGAAATAAAAAGAGTCGTTAGTATACTTACCTTCGTATAAAGATATTGATGCCTTTCCTTTGATCTGTTGTTGGTTATAATCGTGGTCAGAGAAGGCTGCGACACTACAACATGAAAACAATTTATTAGTATAAATTTTGAGGTAAATGCGATTTTTGCAAAACAAAGGTTTTTAAATTTTTTTACATTATACCTGATCCTAATTTTTAATAGCTAAACAATATTGGTAAACAAAAAATTCTCCTATTAATGCTTAGCAAGTTCATCGCAATTCTCAGTAGGCTTTACGTTAGCTACTACAGTAGTAATTCCAATTTGTTTCTCACATTTTTCGCTTTATATTCGAATGCCTTAAATTCATGACTTTCACGTTGATATATTTAGATGTATGTCTCTTTTGAGGATTAGGATCTATACTTTTCTTTGCTAATTTGATATAGCATTTAGAAGTTCCAGGAGAAAATTTGGGTCGCAACCCATTGCAGATCTGAATACACGTATTTGCATTATGTAATCAGAAGAAAACTTATTTTCAAATAGATTATCTGCTGACTCAAATAAATTGTTCAAAATTGAGCTAAATGATACAGAAGAGTTAGAAATATGTGAATTTAGATAAAAAAATTAATTTTAGGGAATTAGGTTAACTTATCTTGGTAGGGGATAAGAGTGAGTAAAACTTATGGATTTTAATAAAGCACTAGAGATTAGTGCAAATGAAGTATTTGGATGGTAATTGAATGTTCAAATAAAAACATAACCCTGAAGATAATATAATACGAAAAATGTTAGCAAAATGAACGATCTTGGACGAAATTGTTCGAAATTGGGCCAAAGGGTATGGGGATTAGTATCAGGGAATTAGGTTAACATATGATTGAGGGAGTTAAGTTTTTGTTAATGCAATTATTGGCTAATTTGACGTGGTGATACAGGGATTTTGGAAATTCAAAAAAATTTCTATATGAATATACAATTTCCAACACTGATTGTGACCCGAGACCACATAATATCATGAATCGAATTCACAGCCGCAGTACCACTAATGAAAGAAAATAAAATATTAATAAAAGTAATAGAAGCGAATTGCCTAAATGAAGAATAAAAGAATGCTTATCTGAGTCCAACACTATCTCTATAAAACCAATTAATCGATTATTTGGACCAAGTCTTTTCACGCTTCGATCGAAGCCTTAACAATATTAGGGCTTGGTTAAAATAATTATAGTAGTTGATAAAGTAATTTAGTTAGTATAGTGTGTTATCCATATTTTGACCTTGCAACATTTCCGACACAGCACTACACTTCCCAACGTTCACATTGAAACCGAATAGTCTCGAAGATGGATATCGATTATTAAAGTTAAATTACTTATGCCTATATACTGTGTAGATAAACATCAAAGTGCAGAATTAAGGGACTTGGAAAGTTCTTAACAATACTTGATGAAAAATTACCAAAACTTGTGCGATAAAAAGACTGATTCTAAAAAACTGCACATAGAATAATTATATTATGATAAAGGCGACTTTGGTTAATAAAAAAAATTAGCTTAATAGCTTTAAATCATTATAAATACAAAAATAGTTTCTATATGTATCAATTTAACTTACATTTAAGGATACTAATATCTCGACTCAGAGTAATGATTCAGACTATTAACTACTAAGTTGTGCTAATCGATCAATTATAAGTGCATCTGGTGAGAGTACGTATTATGATGAGTATTGCAGACAAGTTATATACGAAACTTACGAGACTCGCTTTTTCTTGAAATTATTGTAGAGAAAATTGATTCACTCATTCATATAAATTATAGAAACAATCACTACGTATAACCCATAATATTGTATAATTAAAAACTATTATATTGCATATCTACATATAGCAAGAATGTCTAAGCAGATGGCATTTATGGCGTTTTAGTTGATCTGTTACATTTTCCAGAATTGTTATAAAATGATTACATATGTACGATAATATTAATAATTTGCTTAGATGTATTACGAAATTATTAATGCTCTAAGATTTCGACGACATTCTATTATTAGATGATTTGGTTGAAGAGGATGTTTTAGTTGCATTAGATGGTTGTATAGGAAGAGCATCAGCTGTTTTTGCTTTGGATGTAATTGGCCGTGTTGAGAAATTGCTGTTTGAATGTCATTTGCAGGCCTTTTGCACCACCATTTTTAATGAACCATTATACCCACTAATCGTCCATTTTGGAGCTTTAAATAGAGCTCTTTGTTTCTTATTGTAAAAGCTTGTATCATAAATGCGACTCCGCCTCTTTAGAACTTTGGATGACTCAATGAATATATGGTCAATATAGTCATGTAAAAAAGATCGTAGCTACAATATGAATATAAAATTAATTTTTTTTTAAATCTTATACACATTTAAATTCGATATTAATAATCTTACCATAGTCGAACACCATTTTAAATCCTTTATGACGACCTTCCTTTCACCAGAGGGATTTTCTTCATCCGTCTCTGAAGCCTCAGGTGAATGATATGCAGATCTCTCCTTTATTGGTCGAAGTTTGTCTTCATTGAACATTTTAATCAATGGGTCTCCGATTTCTATCAAATGCTCGATCATATTGGTTCGGTTCGTTCTTTTCTATAATTTCAAAATATAACAAAAATAGTAAAGATAAAAATAACTAAGTAGAATTGTTTTACTACTTACATCTTTTCTTCGACTGTGAAAATGCCTTTGCCTTTTCATTTTATCCTGGTCAGCCACCAGTCGCCGCTTTCTTTTGTATTCCTCTCATTGATTTTATGTCTAGTATGGATCATATGGTACACTATACCTTCGGATACTGGAAATTAGATCGAATCTAATGCTTCTATAACAACGGGCACTATTGTACAGTTCACAAGATTGAGCTGATCTTCGAATGTCTCGTCTAAACTTAATTAACTTTCTTCTGGCATTCTTTCAATGATCCAAAATATTTGACGCTGCATATTAAAAAATTTATATTATTAATATGTATATATAGTGCATCAAATTAATATCTGCATCAATTAAGATATTTATCATACCGTTAACACCTTCTATTAAAACTTAGTATTTAAATTTAATTTGATGCAAATTTCAATTTGACATATAAATATATAAGAAAAAAAATAATATATAGTTTACCCTCAAAGCTTTTTTAAGATCTTTAGATAGATCGTTCATAAATAAATATTTTGGTCGTACATTATCGTCTTGATTGTACTCGGGAAAACTCGAACTTTTAGTTCTTAGTGAACTAGAACTAAAACTTCGTTTAGCTCTCTGTGAACCAAATCTTCGTCTATTTATTCTTGATGAACTAGACCTTTGTCTAGTTATTCTTGGTGAACTATGTCTTCGTCTGGTTGTCTTTAAACTAGAACTAGAGCTTTTTTCTAATGCAGTTGGCTTTGAAGATTTTACATATAAATTTGATTGAAATCTATAGTTATATGAATAAGAATTGTTAATGTATATGTAAATAAATCGAATTAATAACTTATCAATTTTATACCCTTCGCTAGAGTGATTTTCAGCCTAATTATTTTTATAACAAGGACTTCTAGATCTGAGACAACGACTTTCAGATCTATAATTTCTAGAACGAGGGCTCTTGGATATGCGATGACGAATTTCAGGTTGATAATGTTTAGAATAAGGACTTTTGAACCTGGAACACGACTTTCAGACAGATCACTTCTAGAATAAGGAATTTAGATATGGATTTGTTATTTTTAGACCGATTGCTTCTGGAATAAGGACTTTTAGAACTTGGACGATGACTTTCAGACCGATCATTTTTAGAACGAGGACTTGTAGACATTAATTTATTATTTTCAGACCAAGTGCTTCTAGAATAAGGACTTTTGAATCTAGAATAATAGCTTTTAGACCGATTGCTTCTGGAATAAGGACTTTTAGATCTAGAATGATAGCTTTCAGACCAATCATTTTTAGAACGAGGACTTGTGGACATTAATTTATTATTTTCGCTTCTGGAATAAGGACTTTTGGATCTAGAATAATAGCTTTCAGACCAATTGCTTCTGGAATAAGGACTTTTGGATCTAGAGTGATAACTTTCAGGCCGATTACTTTTAGAATAAGGACTTTTGGATCTAGAGTGATAACTTTCAGGCTGATTATTTTTAGAATAAGGACTTTCGGATCTAAGGTGATGACTTTCAGACCGATTACTTTCAGAATAAGGACTTTTGGATCTAGAGTGATGACTTTCAGACCGATTACTTATAGATTCATGTCTAGACTTATAACAGGACTGATAACTACTAGAACGATGGTTATAACAACTTCTGCTTCTTGATTTATTCTTACGTCGTGAATATGTCATATTTTAAAAGTTATTTGTAGAAAAATATATAGTAGTGAATCTGTAAAAAGAAGATGCAAGAAGAGAACAATTATTTTTTGCACTTAAAAATTAGTTCTTTTATAAATAAACTTTTATGCAGGTTATAAAATCTTGCGATTTAATGTATTTTTTTAAACTCAGCCACCAAATTCGGATCAGGGCTTAAAACGCTATATTGAAATGCCTGCCATTCAAAAGTGTCATTCTTGATCTTTAGTATATTAGTAATTAATTGGTTATATAGTAAACAATAAGATTTACATTACACTGATTTTAATGAATCAAAAAAAAACACTTCAATCAATAGGCTGCAGGCCAGAAAATTACTATAGGATTTTAAGCCCTGATTCGGATATGAATTTTAATTGTATCGAAATTATATCACGTGTTCACAGGAGAAAACAAAAATAGAGTTTTTATAGCTTTGTTATATAGATATATTTGTGTCATTTCTAAATTGAAAATAGAATGATAATTATTGACTAATTAAGGTGTCCTCTAAAAGTGAAGTAATTTCATATGGGTGCCGCCAAGGCAAAACCCGTCATCGGATTTTTTTAAAACTATTAAAACTTGAAATAACGGGTTATCAAGTAAATAAACAAAGTATTAAACTAGCAAGACTGTAGTATTAAATTGAAAATGTATTTTTCAAATTAATAATAACATTATCATAAAAGATCATATACAAGGTCCTCTTTAATGGTAGTAAACCTATAAATTAGGTCCACATATGAATCATAAATTAAATTGATTTTTTCAAAAACTTAGACTGCTTATTATATATATAAAGTGAGCATGCGCTTTAAAATTTACCTTATTATAGTATAAATGCTTACCTATATACTATACGCGAGCAGAGCAAACCTAGCATCGTTCACCAAAAAAAGTAGCCGCCATTATAAATTGATCGTATGATTACTTTTATCGCATGAATCCTGGAATCAGTCGTAAAGTGGTTATATAAGTAATAAACAATCTATTAAAATTTAATTTATTATAAAATGTTTAAAAAAATAAATGAGAACAAAAGAAATTATTCATAGGCTTATGCCATATTGATATGTAACAAAATTATCTTAATAAAAATATGAAAAGAAACACAGATATGAATCGGCTATATATATATTGTTAAAAATATTTATCATTGTCATTCTTAGTAAAAATAAAATAGATAAAAAAATTTTAATGTTATCATTGTTATCAGAGTTTTAATTATGAGTAGCTACATTTTTTGTGAATGATGCTAGGTTTGTTTACTATACCCGGGTAATTGTAAATTTGTTAGTTCTTTTGCAATAATTTATAACTGGGGATTTTTTTTTCAGAAGCACTGTGCAAATATATGTACATCTGTACCTACAAGTCACTAAATGTTCACTGAATTTGAATTATACTCGATCATCATTGTTGAAATTTATTTGTCATTATCTTATTATTTAACCTGTTCTAATTTGATCTCATTGTTTGAATTTTTAAATAAATCAAATCGCCTTTTTTATCTTAAAAAAAAAAATAATAATAAAATGCCTAAAAAATTAAGGCCAAAGGTGCTATGCTATTGCAAAGAATGCGACGGCAAA